CCGCTGTCTGTGTGGCCGGAAGTGGAGCGGGGCTGGGCGCGGCCGGGGCATCGCGCTAGTTAAGCAGGGCCCGCCCCGGCTGGCGCGCGGATGGGTGACCAGCCCACCCTGCTGCTCTGGTCCCCGGGGCCTGCGAGGAGCCGCACGGAAGCGCCCAGCTGGGCAGGATGCAGCAGCCAGGGCGGGAGAGCTCGTATGAATAGGGCTGGCCTGAGATTTCGAGCACGGAGGTGCTCGAGGAGCCAAGCTGTGTCAGGGCTGCAGTCTGGCACATTGGGGGAAGATACTGCTCAAGGGACTTTGTGCTCAATTGTGAGGAATAATTTAGGGGAAACCCCCCCAAAACCTTCTAGTGGTTTCATTTCTTTGATTTGATTTCCCACTCTCCTAACCTCACAGTTGCATTTCTCATGGTGGGAGCCAGGTGTGTGTTTGAAGTCACGGCTATGCTAAGCATTCAACTTATTTAACACGCATGAAAATTGTTATGTAACTGTAAAAGCATCCTTATCTGAATTTTTCTAGATAAGAAATAAGGCACATTTTGGATTAATTAAAATTATCCTCATCACCTCTGGGGACACAGTTTAGCCTCTGAAGCCAGGATGCAGTTTTAATTCTGTGCTCATGACTATTTTGGAACTTGTTCTGAGCATCAGTCTCTGGTCAGGATACAGATCCATACAAAAGACTACAAAGAAAATATAAATAGGTAAAATTTCTAAAAAAGAGTATTGCCTCCAATGTCATAAGCAAATTCTGCAGTATGTAATTGCATGTTGCATAAATTTCTCTAAACTTGCAAAAGACTAGACAGAGCAGCTGTATTTCTTCTCATGAATTGTTTTGCTGGGCACTGTATGGGACTTCTGCAAAGTGCTTCAAGATGAAAAAGGATAAAGGATCCTGCTTACAAGTATACCATTTACTTAACATTAGGATTATTCATTGTAATATGTTGTGAAAGACTCATTTGAATGCTGAGAGGAGAGGAACAGAAATCTTGCCCTTTCTACAGTTACAAGATTTCTATGGAAAAATCAAGAGCTACGTTAGACAAATAGCCAGTGTTTCAGATCTTCACATGGCATCAGTCCTGAGCAGAAAAGTTAACTCAAGTTCTTCAAGTTCTCTGCCTTTCCTCAATGTGAAATTTATACCCCCCTTCCTACCCCTCCCCTCAAAAAAACCCTAAAAACATAAGCACAGAGGAAGAACATAAGTCAAAGAAGGATGCAGGATAGAAGGATGAATCATTTCTACCTGCAGCAATGACATAAGAACACAGTTAGTATCAAAAACATTTCCTTCATTATACATTATGGAAACATTGTTGTACACATCACTTTCAAGGTGCATCTGCTCCAACAGACTCTAACAACAAACCATGAACACAATCCTCTGTACAGAAACTGTAACAGTCTTCTCGAGTGACATTCTCTAAGGTCAACAAAGTCCATGTCAGAAGAAAAATATGACAAAGCTTTCAAGAAAGTGAAGTCTGCAGCATTGGTTCATGGGACTTTGGTTTCTTTAACCTATGGAAAAGGTCTTCTGCTAATGTAGACTCTTATGGAGGGGAATGGAAACCCTTTCAGATAGCTTGCTACTGCTCCATTGCTCCCCAAAACAGATTTTTTTGGTTAAAAAAATCTTTTACATATTTATATTTATCCCTTTTGTATTTTCATAAAACTTTTTATCCCTGTAAAACCGTTCAGACTGACCAAGCTGTTAAAGCGCTCCAGTTAGCAGCAAGCCTGAGATCTGTGGGATTTTTTTTGTTTGTTCTGAGAACAAGGAAAATAGATGAATGAAGTTAATGTGCCCCTGCTCATTCAGATGTGGAAATCTAGTCATCCTTCATTGCTTCTAAGCCCTTTATCACCCCATAAGAAGGATAATCCTGTCTGAAGGTTTGTTGCCATGTTTTGAAAGACCTTGTCTTTATGGGCAACAAATCAATTCTTTCAGAATTGCCATAGCCTAGCAACAGTTTTACTTGGTTTTGCATCATTTCAGTAGTCTTAAGAGTGATTTAAAAGGTAACAAGCTTGGGAAAATGCTACTAGTAAGATTTCACCTCTGTATTCTGGGCCACCTGAGATGTTTCTTGCTTTTCAGAGAAGTCTGATAAGAAAGAGGGTACATGTTGACAGGGTGAATCACAAGGGAAAGGAGGGGTGTGAATCCAGAAATTCTAATCAAAAGCTATTTAAAGTAACCAGTGGTAACACTAAATGCTTTCTTTTCTTAGGTTATGGGGCAATAGCTTAACCAGAACTAATATCTACACCAAGCACACTTATTAATAAACACAATTTACAGACCCAAAGCTAGGCCTGACTGAGATGAGTTTGAAGATTGTGGCCAGGTCAAATCCCAATAATATGGGAATACAAACCCTGCATTAAACACTCTATTAGTGTTTAAAAATAGCAGTAGAGTGCTATTAAGCACTCCAGTACAGCCTAGACTATTCAGTGAACTTGCGAAACATTCCAAACTCAAATGTCTCCAGGGATAAAGAAAGTATGGCCCAAGCTCAGAACCAAACCAGAGATTTCAGTGGTACTAAGAGTAGAACACAGATAACAGTCAAAACAGGCAGATAAAGTGAGCTAAGTAGACACAGTCATTGCCCACCAGAAAGGCAGCAGGATAAACTTGAGGCTAGAATCCCAGCAACCTTCATCTGCAGCTCACCCACACCGATACACAGGGTGTCAGCTCAGTAAGAGAAGAGCTTATGCAAACAACTACCATCAGGTTCATAGAAAAACACTGCACGAGTGCAAACACGCAAGACAGCTACACCAGGCTTTACCTCCTTCTTATAGGAAAAGACAATTTCCAAACCCATGCCTATAAGGTATTACTAATACTATGCCAAATATTTAAAGATACTACATTTTTAAACTCATGAACTTGCATGCATACTTTTTATATATGACTGTTCTCCATCTTTAGAGTCTAGTCTAACTTTTAATGTTTTTGTGAAAATCATTATTTTCTCCAAAGACAATGTGGGAGAAGTAGCCTAAGCCACATTCCCACATCAGGCTATACAAACATCAGTTTGATATTTGAGTTCATATTCAAACAGCCACATTTACATCTCACCCTGACCTGACAGTCACTAATCACTTTTAGGCTTCCCTAGTAACAGGCTATTTATAGTTCAGAGTAGACTGCTTCCCACACTTAATTTGGTACCCATCTAACAACAAAGATTGCAACACTGTTTCCTTCTTCCAAAGGCCATTTTTTTCTGAATTTGCTGAATAAGCAGATCTATTAATTAATATCCCGAGTAGGAAGCTTGATGTGGTATCAGAAAACCCCTACTGGTTAGCACAGTAGTACAAAGCTCACTGCTAGAAGCATAGACAATTCCTTGAAATGCACTGTCCTGTTGAAACACAGATACCATGAGAAGAAAAGCTTTATACTGCAAGCATTTTGTTAGTAAAAACACTTTGGTCCTAGTGACTTAAAATCAGAAAGTTGGGAATTCTCTTTAATTAGATGATGCCAAGAATGTAGTAACTAAGTAATAGCATAATATTCAAATGCCACAATTAGATACACTTGACAAAGCTATGCAAAATTTATCAAAAATCTAAACCAAATAGTTTAATCTGGACAGGAATCAGAACTGATCAAGAAACCTCATCAAAAATTACAGTGCATCTGAAAACTGACGCAAAAATAATTTCCCTATCCATGTTCACAGATCATTTAGCTCCTTCTAGCAAGGGATGCCAAAACACCTTGTGTGAGCTAGTGTAAAAAAAACAATTTGTGCATGAAAACAGTTCTGAATGAGTCTGAAGCATAAGTGATGGAAAAATGCTACCCACATACCCTTCCATATTTAATCTCTCTACACTATATGACAATGTGTGTGTATATATATACATTTGTTTGACCTTAAGACATTGCTTTAAAGGTTCTATGTTATATGTATATGTAATTCAGGAGAAATCCATGGTGACTGATTGACTACATGCTTCCAGATATCCTAAGGAAAAAGAGAATAAATGCAGGCAACAGGTTGACAGTTAAAGTTGTTGTCTTTAATGAAATGACTTTGGAAATAGTATCAATTTCCATGACACCAACATTTTGGGAGTCCCATAAAATATGTAGTATTACATTCCAATGCCAATAGTACAGGCAGATCTCCTTTTACATGGCAAATAGGATCAAGAATGCAACCATCAGACAGAAGAGACCCATAGCTTCAGACAGGGCGAATCCCAGGATAGCGTATGAGAACAGCTGCTGCTTCAGAGAAGGGTTTCTAGAAGAAAGTGAAGGCATAAGACCTTTTTATCTTCACCAAATTCATACACAGGCTGATGCATCTGAGAGATTCAGGATCTCATGCCACAGGTGCCCTAACAACAAAATCCAACAAACCCAAGCAGTAGTAGTCTTTGGCAGAGATTTCAAAGACAAAGGATTTAGTTAAGACTGAGCTCAGGTTATGCTGATTGCATTTAAGAACTCACAAAAAGCTTTTTAGTGTTGTTCTGTAACTACACCTGTATGTCCTTTTGGACACAGTTTTTTCATACTCATGTATAAAGTGTTAGCATAATGTTTTATAAATGTATTACACACCTGTGGCATTAGAACAGTATTCCAAAGAAGCTTCTAACTACAGAATTTCTAGTTGTTGTTAAATACAAGAATTGAAACATCTAGAGTAAAGAAACAAGCATGCAGCAGTTTGTTATAAATACACTATTAACCATTCCTCCAGTAAGTAGCAGAAATAAAAAATAAAAATCAACATAACACTACAAAATATATGAAATGATTCCTTACACATGTTGACGTTAAAAAAAGCAGTCAAGTTCAAAAAAAAAATCAGACAGTAATTTTGCAATGAAACACTTCTGTTTCTTCTGCACTGCAAAGTGGATGTCCCTGTCTTCAGTATGGCTAAGAAATCTTTGGAACTCAATGAAATCTTAACTGGCTCAGAGTAATGACAAACATGATATACATACAAAAGACTTACTGATGGCATCAGTCCTGCTTTTCAGTGATACTGTGTGAACTCTAAGGACTGCAGGAACAATGTAAGCTCTACACAGTAGAGCTGTGTAACCAGTTTCAGTTCATCCCCCTACTATTGATTTCTGCCCCCCTTACTCCTTCAGATTCCTAAAGTGAATAATTAATCATTCAGAGTAATTTTATACTCAGCAATGTAAAATGGAATGCATTGAAAAAGCATCCATTGAAAAAAGCAAAGAAAATCTTACTACATGCTAACAGTTCAAATACAGTTCCTCTCACAGGATTAAAGACTCATGATAGATTTTGAATTATGTTCTGAAACTGAACATTGGAAACATTAACTGTTTAATTACCTTCTGTACAGAGTTTTGAACTCAGAGAGTCCCATGCTACTGAATATACTACAGCTTCATATTACCCTACTCAACCCTATTTCATAACACTTTACTGAAGGAATTTACAACAGCTTTCCAATGCCTACCGCAGCTCAGGTAGCTTATCTGGAAGTGCTGTGTCAAGATATATTTGCATGCAACTCAAGACTTTCAGAAGACAGACATTACCTGGCATAACCAATGATTAGACTACCGAAGACCGTTCCAATACCAGCACCAGAACCAGCCACACCTACTGTGGCAGCCCCAGCACCAATAAATTTGGCAGCAGTGTCAATGTCTCTGTTGATAGCACTAGTCTGGAATTCTCTAAGTGCTAGTCGGGAGACAGCATTTTGGGCCCCATAAAGTGTTGAGTTACCCTAAGAAAACAAAACAATGGAAAAAAGCATTATATTTGGATACAGATCATTTTCTTTGACCACTTTGATACATTCTTCTGTATTAGATCCAATGTCTGATTACTCTTACAAGTGTTGAGTCTATATCTAAGAGTCAACAGTTCAGAATGTTGCAATTCCACCTGAAAACAGTCAACGCTAAAGGTAAAAGATTTTGCTCAGGGAAAACAGCAAGACAACAAGTATTATAAGAGATTCCATTTAAAGCCAGTGTCACAGTGCAGCTATTTGTGTTAGTAGGTGTGAAGTCTAGATTGAGGACATTTAGGCTCACCAGGTAATTTAGGAAGATACAGAATTTTGTTTATAAGGTACCTCTCCAGTCCCGACCTCTGGCCTAGAAAACACAGATGCCGAAATTGGTCTGTACAAGACTCTTGATCCAGCACGGATCTGCAAGAGGAAGAAAAGAGTTATGAAAAGAAAGAGACATTTGGTTACAGCAGGTTCTATGCAGTATTTTTTTGTAAGATTAAGAGCCTATTATCTACTAAGACTCTTGTCCTACCTAAAAGACAGCAACCACTGCATATCTGGATATACAGCAGAAGATAGAGAAGCTGGCGCTTCCATGACGTTTGATGGCTTTCAGAAGACATTACTGGGACTAGCCAGATCACTCAGGGAATCCATACAAGTGTTATACAGCCAGAAGAAAAAAAAATCCAGTAGAGCAGCAACAAATAAAAATCCTAGGTAGCCCAGGAGACATCAACATACATTTTGCACTGAAAATATACAAGGAGCCAGAAAGCATTTTAAGGCTGCTAAACACAGGCCTTAAACACAGCAGGGCAGCAATGAATGAACCTCCCCGCAGCGGCCTCGCATGTCCTTGGGCCCGCAGCCCGCTAAGGTCACGGCGGCTCCGCGCCGCGCTGCC